TTTCACCAGGTTACTCTTATAGTTCTCTGGTACCCATTTATACCTCCAGAAGGTGAGAAGCACTGTGAGAGCAGTGTCTTGCCCAACAACACACCCTGGCCTGGGTGCAAACCAAGACCTTTTGATCTCAAGTGCAATACACAGGCAACCATATTTCATACACAAGCATGATCAAGAACATTTTGTAAACTAACTAAAGGTAGCAGTACCTTAACCTTGCCATCTGTCCTGCCTCACTGTCAGAATATTCTGAGTCAGAACTTGCATTGGACAAGCTTGATGCACTGTGATAACCTGATGATTCTGCACCTGATCTATCAAGAGTGTTTGTATTCAGAGCCGGACTGTCGCTCTTTTGACTAAAACTATTACTTTTGGAGTAATGTGTCGCATGTCTTCGAATATTTCTGGGTCTAAGACTAATACATTGGTCCTCATGACGCCCAGCCTCTTTACTTGAACTATTATTTAAATTCATTGCTGAAAATGTTTGTGTTGGTGCTTCTGTTAAAAGGCTACCAACAGATGTTTGCTTGGGTGCCACAGGTGAGGCAGTTTGTTTTGACTTCTTGTTGTTAGAGCGTCTCTTTTTCTTCTTGCTAAGGGCAGAGTACGTACGATCTTTTTGAGGTATTGTGTCTAAGTGGACTGAGGATAAATCATCTGGCTCAATCCCTATTGAGAAGAACAAACCATAGCAAGGTGACACCCAAGATCTAATTCCATAACTGTAGAGTCTAGTGTGCTTACACTTAAGAGAACACTGTTTCCTCATTTAGTTAGAGAGTGCAGCAGCAATATTTCATCTGGAAATGGTTGACTTACAAAGATTTAAGCTTGATGGCAATGTTTCTTTTCTATTTCTTGATCAAAGTTTACGGTGATTCTTTCCCCAGAAGGGGACTCTGTGCACATACTCATTCAATGTTTCTCCCCTTACTACATATGGCAATTAGCTTGCAAATCAAGTAATAATAAACTGTCAAAACTAAATAAATCAAGCTGCAGAGAGCTATTTGCCACCACTGCACACCCTTTGGCAATTTTGTAGGAACCACAATTAGAAAACATTACACAAATTGTGGGAAGGGTTAAAGTGCATAAGAGCAAAATCCAGCCCAAGTTTCCAGAATTGTAGCCCTATCTTTCCTTTTGGTTTTGCTTTCCACTTATCAAATATTGCAAAGCAGAGGAATACATCTTTGGCAAACCCACATACTTCCTCTGAGTGTTCACCAAGTCAGTTTCCAAAGCCACAAAATTGAACTAAGGGGTTGACTGACCCACTGTAGCCCTGCCATAGCTGTTTTAAATTTCCAGCTTCTCTACAGTTCCTGTCAGGTATTTACAGCTTCTATATCCCAAAGGACCACGGTACAACAGTATTTTATTATACCCTTACAAACATGTCTGGTGCTCTGTTTTCTAAGCTTATCTAAAGCCACAGAGAAAGTTTAACATGTCCAGGGTATATTACTATGATACACTGACACTTGTCCTTGCCCTGCTATACAATTTCTATTTCAAATTCAGAGCCCCTACATACAAAATTTCATGGATGCTAGAGTGGGGCTTATAGTGTAAGAACAGTAAATTCTTTCCTGAAAAAAAAAAAAAAAACCAACAACAACAACAACTTTTCAGCAATCAGGATACCTGGTTGATCCTCCAGTTGGTGGTTCCTCTCCTCAGGGTACACTGGTTTGTAGCCTGGCAACCCACAGAACATGTAGTTCTACAAAATAATATTATAATAGATAATAAAAAGCTCAAAAATAGTAAAAAAAAAAAAAGAGGAGAATTACACCTAGCTCCATTATGAGGTGAGGAAAAATATATGAACACATCAAAGACCTAATCCAATATCTAGTAACTTTGAACATGTACTTGGCCAATCACAATGTACAGAGTACCTACCATAATTGTATTTCTCAGTTAGTATGTGTACTATGAATGGTAAATTTAGCAGGCTGTATAGTGAACAGCCTGCTAAATTTAAGAGTTTGTTTGAATTGAAATCCTTCCCCCTCTACTTGAACTTTTACTCGCCTTATTTTCTTGTTCTGCACCTTTTTTCCACTCAGATTTATGGCCCACATGCTTAGTACTTGGGCCATAACTGTAGCTCCCATTGGGTGCCTACATTTGACCTCAACATCTGGGAAATTGACTTTGTGTTTGTTGAAAGAGAACTAGTCATGTTTGTACTGGCAATTTATTTTGCTACCTATAATTGTTGTTGTTGTTGGCCACTCTAAACTCAAAACAGTTGGTAAGTTTAATCATATTTCATATGCATTGTAACTTAGCTCACTAAGATATAATTTCTGTTTGTAGGAAACCTGCCTTACTGTCAATTTTGGATGTTTTAATCGGTTCGGTTATGGAAATGTTTGTGGATTATCACTGGAATCGCCATACATAGATGGTTTGAGTTTTCACTTTCAAATGTATTAAGTGTTTCTGTGAAATGTGTAATAATAACCAAGTGGGAAAACTTGATCATTCCATTAGTAAGAGGTATGTAATCAGAGTAGCCATTTGGATGTGTTTACCTTAAGAGCTGCTAAGAGAGGTCCAAGATCATACCTCTGATTTGCACACCCAAGAACAAGAACATTTAACAAAGCACGCAAAACTGCATTGATGACCTGAAAGTATCAAAGCGAGAGCAATTTATGGCTTGAGGGTGAGAATGAGTCCCATGCACAGGCCCTGTTTTTGTTCACGTATCACCAGTAGTCAAAAATTTGCAAACTGTTTCCTGTTTCACCTTTTACACCCTAATATCAGTCTGCATATTCTCCATACTGCATTCTAGACATTTTTCAAGGAGCTGACAAGGAGAGTTTGTTTGACAATCAAGAGCTTCTTTAGTGGGTGATAATTTCCTATATTCTTGTGACCATGATGTATGATTCAGGAGTGAATTATTGTAAGGAGAAATTAGATGCTAGTCACTCTTAAGGATTTAATATTCCTGTGTTCATGTTAAAGGTACTGCAGCTGCTTTTTTCTTAATAAAAAGGTCTTTATATAGGTATCAAAACAATAGTTTTGGGTACACAAATCACAACTGATCTGTAAAGGGAAAAAAAAACTAATCCTTACCCTGAAATGTTCAATCTCTGTTCCACATGAGTTTGGGTTGGAAGTTTGCAGAAGGTCCAGAAGAAGGTTGAATGCTGGTGTTATGAATTTATCATCCAAATGTAATCCATTGGATGACCTGGTGTTTACACAAAATCATGTAAAAGCAAGAGCTTATGATTATGCTTATATGTGCATGCCTCAAGAGAACATTGGTATTGATACTGCCACTGCAAACTTCAGATTACTAGTCTAAATGCTCTACTGGTATGCTTCACCAGATTGCAATTGTAACATAATAATAACACCATCAAACATATTGGAAAACACCAATCAATTCAAATACCAAAATGAAGCTGTGGTAAAGGGTGTTTGATATGCACCAGAAATCAGATAATTCTCTAGCTAAATTTAAATGGCCCTAGCCCTTTTTTTTATTCAAACTTGAAGAATATTCTCCCATAACTTGACACTATTCTCCTGCTGTTTCCTCTTTTTAACTCTTCGACACCTAGAAGTGATTAACACATAATTTCTCCTCCACATTCAAATATATTATCTGGTTAACAGGTTATGAGAACCGATAAGTTTCATCTTGAACATGTTTTCTTGATATAAGACAATATTTTCCTGTCTAACTCTCAAGGAAATGTGTGGTGGCCAGGAAGAGTTACTAGACAGTTGTAGTGTGGCAGTTAAAGGGTTCATGAATACACTAGAGGTAACATTATTCTACTCAACCCGTCTATTGGCAGATTAGTCCACATGTTTGAAAAATGAAAAAAGTAATGAATCAAGATGAAATACCTCATGCATATATTAGCCACACATTGTATAGTGTTGCAGAGAACATCAGTCTCCTGTGACTTGTCCCTGCACAGTCCCACCAGCACCCCATCTTTACCTAATAGTCTATCACCAAACTAAAGCAGAGATAAAATTTCCAGTTTAAAATTTCAACTTATATTGCACACCCTCAGATGATGATGCTATGAAATACAGAAAACCATGAATACCACAATGGTTTAATGCCTTTTCTCATGTTAGAAGGAAAAAGACAGTAAGTCTTCAGAAAACTAAACTGCAGAAAACGATGGTAATGAATTTGTTTAGTCTGTTTAGTTTATTTCATGTTGGTCATCAAAATGGTCAAAATGTCATGGACTCACGAGGTACAGYGGAGTGAGTCCCCAACAAATTTTGACCATTGCTGAGAGTACAGACCAGGCTAGACCACTGTAAAATGATTCCTTTTTTTTTTTATCACAATATCAATGTCAAAATTCCCAAGACATCCATGTTTGAGAGCTGATAAAGGCATTACATGACATGTTGACATGAGCAGTGCTGTCTGCACTCTTATCGCTGATGGCAAGTTGGCTAATCAGATTGCCACATTACTGCCAATTGTGGTAAATTAACCTATTGTCAGAAGCTTACTACTGGTTCAAGTTATCGGTCTTTTGTTTCTATTATAATAGGTTATACTATGTGCGAATTGTATCTGTACTTTATTTGTCAGACAAATAAGAATAGAGAGTGTTTGTTTGTCTCTTTGTTTCATATTTGTGGTTTTGAGGTTTGCCTACATGTCCTGAATTTTACTGATTTTCTGAGTTTTCCATGCAAAAGTTACCTAAAAATTAAAAGTCCTGATCAGAAAGTGTCACATGATTTTGCTCACATGATCTCCATCGTGGTCCAACTCTAAGGACAATGAGTATGAGAGTAAGACAACTTTAAATCACAATGCCTCTTACATTGACACCCATAAATTAAAATAAATTCTCATTCATTCACATGTACGTTTATCAATACCTGTTCACAGAGTGACCCATTTTCATAAAGAGTAGATCCTAAAGCTCGTAAAATGTTCAGCAAAGTCCACTTTTTACAAATCTTGATGCAGTTAATGAGGAAGCTGGTGAGATGATTCAGTGTTTCCTGGTTGAGGTCAACCTGTAGTTCAAAGTTAAGATCATTGTAAGTACAAAGAAAAAATAAAGACAAAAAAATCAGTTCAGGACTGTACACTGAAGAAGTCAAGTAGTTTTACCTGAACTTCCTTCTGCTTAAAGCAGTCTATCAGATGTCGCTTGTGGATTTTCTCACACACCCCTTCATTTATAATAGATTTTGATCTACAGACTGAATTCATCCAAACATAGACCCTTGGATAACTAGGAAGTTGCATTTACTGAAAATATAAAAATGCTACAGGGAAAGGATTGAGAGCTGAGCAGTGGAAATAACAATCATCAAATCAAAATGACTTTCTTTGGTGTCATTACGCTTTGGGTAAAGAATTAAATACCTTTTGCTTTGCTAGCAGATTAACAATCAGTTGACAGAACTTTGTGCTGAGAAAGTCATCATTCCCTCCTGACTGTATGAGTGTACAACATTTACACAGTACTTGTAAAGCACTCTGGAAATAACAAAATTTTCATCTTAAAAATCCCACTGTCCAGCCAAAAAGGTTCAAACTTAAGGTAAAGTCTGTTCTCCAGCCAACTGTCCCACCCAGCCACTAAGCTAATCTAGCTGTTTCTGTGGTTTAAAGTGACTGTGAGCATTGCTACTCCATCTGGACAGAAATTATATCAGTCCATTACAGATTAGCCACCGTCCCTCCCCCCCAGCTCCCTTTCCCTCCCTTCCCAATACCTATTTTTGTCATTTTTGGAAGAGAGGCACATTGAGGCAAAAGTGTCTGACCCAAGAACACAATTCAATGACAATTCAATGACAATTCAATGACAATTCAATGACTGCTCACAATTCAATGACAATATACTGAATCAAAATATGGCGTCCAATTTGAATTACTATTGTTCTGGACTTGCTAGCCTCTCACAAATGTGATAATCCTTTTGTGTTTCCTCCTGAAGAGGAGGCTAGTAAGTCCAAAACAATGCTAATTCAAATT